TAGACTTGAAAAGGCAGAATTAGGTATGCTTAATGACTCTTCGACTTGACAACTTGGTGAATTTACAAAAAAATTATTATCATTTGTCATAAGTTCATCATCATTTGTTATAAGTTCATTTAACAAAATCAAAGTCACGAAACAAAGGAAGAAATTTCAAGTCATCTGTATAGCAATATTTTAATACTGACTTACCAGAACCTGTTTGTAAAAAGTGTGGTGATGAATTTGCACCAAAAACTGCAACCTCAAGTCTAAGACGTCATTTAGAATCTTATCAAATTATTGCTCCAAAATAATTAAAAAAAAAAAAAAATTATAATAATATTCCTTATTCAACAGATGAACAGCAAGAACGAGATGATATTGTTATAGAGTAGATTGTAAATGATATACAACCTTTTAGTGTTGTAGAAAATGAGTCGTGGAGACAAATGATTACAAAATTTGATCCTCGCTATCAATTTCATAGTTGACACACAATAAAAGATCTTATTTTAACTCTATATGATAAAAAAAAAGGGCAAATAAAATTAATAATAAATAATATCTCTGGTAAAGTATCATTTACCTTGGATATGTGGACTGCATCAAATAGTTCAGCCTTTCTTAGTTTGACCATTCATTATATTGATGTTTCTTGGATATTAAAACATTTTTTACTTGATATTATTCCTATAGAAGTTCGACACACTGGAATCAATATGTGTAATGTGATAATGAATATTTTTTGTGAGTTTAATTTAACTGAAAAAGCTTTTGCCTTAACCACAGACAATGCTTCATCAATGATTGTATGTGGTGTAGCTATAACAGAAGAGCTTGAAAATGAATTTGATAACCTTAGCATTTCTCATTATAGATGCACTGCTCATTTTTTGAATTTAGCTGTTTCACAAGGCATCAGATTAGTTGACCAAACTATTGCTAAAATCCGATTATTAATGTCATATATAAAGGGTTTAAATCTTATAAATAATACTCTGAAAATATTATATAATATCAAGAATATTAAATACTTGAAACCTGAAATCGATATTAAGACCAGGTGGAATTTCACTTTTATATGTTAGAAAAATGGAAACGTATAGAACCTGCTCTTAACTTGTTCGCTGCTGATGATCAACATGTTCATCAATGATACCAAATTTAGATAATTGTCATAATATCAATATAAGTATAATCACTTTGATATTATAATTAATATAAATTCATTACTAATACTAAAGAATACTTATAAAATATAATATAACAACTTAATTTAAAAGAATATAATAATTCTCTTGAAGCCAATTAAACATGCAACTCATTTTCTCTCAGCTTCTAGCTACCCAACCCATGGTAACATCCATTCCATTTTTCTAAGTATTCAAGAACACTTAATTAGATATATAAATGATAGTACCTTTTCACAAAATTCAATAGCAAGTGCAATTTATCAAAAATTGGAGCATTATTGGATAATCTTGGATTAAACTTCACGGATCTCATCATTACTTGATCCAAGAACAAAGCTATCAACATTTAAAGATGAAACTGAAAAAAATAATGTTATTCATTTAGTATCAAACTTAAATGAATACTCTATACCATTACAACCAATTGTAACATCTTGTACTAATGACTTAATAAATACACAAAATTATTTTCGCCAATTACTGAATAATAATACAGCCTTTTTTTCTAATACATTAACTATGTCTATACAAGAAAATAACAGAACACTAGATTCTTCTTTAACAAATAATATCTGGAATGAATTAAAAAAGTATTTGATATTGCCCTTAGAGGATTATATTGACCCATTGTTGTGGTAGCAGGCACAACAGAAAGAATATCCAAGATTGTGTCTAATTCAAGCAACTAGTGTTGCTTCGGAACAGGCATTTTCAGTAGCTGAACAAACAATTTCACCAATGCGAGGCAGATTGGAGGAGGATACTGCACGTACAATTTTATGCTTGCAAAGTTGAATCAATGAAAAAATTTGCTAATTTAAATACATAAATCAATTTATTAATATACTAATATTTATTAAAATTTATGCAAAGAACTGTATTTGCTTTAAGATTAAAATAGTAATTTTTGTCGCTTCAAGCTAATAGGTTAGATAGTATAAAATTATATTGCTAAAGAATTGTTGCTTGTATATAATTTAATTCGCAAATAATATTTTTTTAGAAATGTATTACAAATAGCTCATTAACAAAAATAAAATTTAATATAATGATAATTGATAATTTACTAATTTGCTTACGTAAAAATAGTTTATTTTGAAACTGAATTGACTGAATAGGATTGATAGATACTATAGGAACCAGTCCTATTAGAGACTGAGACGGACTGGACGGACTAAACCAACTCTACAATTAACTCGTCAATAATTTGCTGATGTGCAATCAATAATAATTCGTATTTCTCAGTTCCCGGGTAAAGACAAATACTATATATTAAAATTTTTTAAACTTTAATAAAATATAATTTTTTTAAAATATATATATTTATTACTTACCAATGCTGATTATCCAGGCTTAAAACTTTATTTTTTTCATTTAAAATACATGCCGTTAGCATTACCTGATTATTGTAACTGCCAACTTGTTGTCCATCCCCACTTAATTTAATTTTAATAGTATTACCTTGACTTAAAACTGGATTATTTCCTGTTATCAAGTCAGGAATTAATGTAATTAATAATGCAATTAAGGTCGTATTGTGCCATTTCCTATTTGAGTTTTATTGATATATAATATATCATTATTTTCATCTGTAGCAGAATAAATTGTTGAAAATTTAGCTATAGAATTAATATTAAAACTCTTAATCAGAATTTTTCTTTCCATATCTTTATTAATTTCTTTTCGTCATGCAGCTATAATATGCTTACGTTCTAATGAAGGTTGAACAGCTGCCAAATATCTATAACCAACGTCAGCTAAAATA